ATTTCTGATTTATTGTAAAGATGAGGTCTCGCCAAGTTGCCTGGGCGGGTCTCGAACCTGCGGGCTCAGGCAATCCACTCACCTCGGCCTCCCAAAGTGCTGGGATTACAGGCTGAGCCACCGAGCCAGGCCAGGTTCCAGGATTTTTAAAAACTCTCCAGATGACACGTGCAACCAAGTTTGAGAACCACTGGTCTAACACATAATCTGTGCATTGTCACACAATAACTTGTCCCCCTTTGAGGGCGCCTGCCTGGCCTTCCTCCCTGCCACTAACCGGGCTGCTGCGAACCTCACCTGTGACACGTAGTCCGCACTGGTGAGAGTGTAGGCTCTGCCTCCCAGATGGAAGGATATGTCGGGGAGTAAAGGCACCTGGTTACAGTTCACGACATACTGGGGGGAAGTAAAGGGAGCCTTTTGGAGAGTGCGACACCTCTCGGCAGACATTTTGATCTGCCCTGCTTGTGGCTAGCCCCTCCCCTGGAGAGGTCTGGGCACCATGCCCTCCTCCATGGGGGAGGAGTGAGAGGTGAGCGGGGAAGGCCTGAAATGGCCTCATTTGGGACCAAATGTTGCGTGGCGGGATTCGGGGGTCTGGACCAGGTGGTGCTCCCCCCACCCTGGCACCTCCCCCCTCAGCTTCTTACTTCATCTATGCTCTGTTCCTTGGCTCCCAAGGCCTCTACAAGCAGCCTCACAGAGCTGATGGGGCCTGAGATGTAGGATGCGCCAGTGTCCACCACTGCCTTGCAGCCTTCCTCGCAGAGCAAGGTGGCCGACCTCACAGACACCCTGGAGAAAGCCACAGTCAGACAGACAGACAGGCAGAAGGCTGATGGGGCACCTAGAGGCCACATGTCTTTCCCAAGTGGGGCGGGGGACTGGAGGCCATGCTGGTGACCTAGTGTCGCATTGGAGGAGGGGAGGTGCTGGCCCCCTTCCTCAGCAGGTAGCTTAGGCCCCTCCGCCGCCTCCCCCAGACCCTCTCCTGCTCTGTGCCTCACATCTACATGTTCCCCAGCCTCACCAGAGCAGGCAGAGAGCAAATAGTGGCTGTGCCTTAAGAAGGGGCTGCATTTGAAGAGATGGCGGGATATTAACCCTGCCCCTTCACCACCCACACTGACCCCAGTGGCGGCAGTGATTTGGGAGCATGGGGTGGGTTGAGGATTGCTGACCCCTTCATTTTGATCTGCCAGGAGTCCGTCTTGGTGACGCTCACGTAGTGGAAACTCCCTTCGTAGTACTGGGGGTCACTGCCTCCCAGCACAAGCTCTCCTCCCAGCAAGTGGGAATTCCTAAAGGAAAGATCAGAAGCTCGTGGAGACCCATTTCCTCTAGGACCCAGTGATTCAGGCAACAAGGGAAAGTTGGGCAAGGGTGCAGGATGGGGCAGAGGGCCTTGGGGTAGAAGGGGGGCAGATAGCAGGGCCCGGAGCTTTCGTTAGGAAGCCTGCAGAACATACTGCTTCTCTCCTTTCTAGCCTGAGGTTTGTTTTCAGGGTGCTTCATCTATGTCCAAAAATGCATCCCTGGAGGAGTCACAGAAAAGGAACAGCTACAAGAAGAGTGAGTAGATGCAAACCAGATGCAAACTGGAGCCCCTCACTTGGGTTGGGCCACTGCTAGTTGAGTAGGTGCATAGGGGGGATCCTGAAGGGGTTAGTGGGTGAGGTGTGGGGGGGGCGTGAAGGGAGCAGGAAGGAGGGGCAGAGAACGTTGGCATCTAATGGAGGCTGGGCTTGTTGAGGTGAGTTGTGGGTGGGTGGCGTGTGTGATTCTGGGTCAGGTGCTCAGGAAGTGCTGGAAGGCCAGAGCCATGGGGGGGGGTTCATCTCCTTTCTTGGAATTTCTGCAGAGAAAGACAGCAGAAAGGAAGCCTTCACTTCACGGGAGCCCCGCCAGCCCTATTGTTTGACCAGGTGGATGCTGTGTGCTCTTTTTACCCATCAGGCAATGGAATCACCAAGAGGTGAAGTCACCCAGGCCATGAGAGAACAAGTGGGAGACTGCCGCCAGGTCTCCTGGACCCCAGTCTGAGCGAATTTCCCTTGCCTTCCTCTTGTCAACACTGTGCGATACCTCCCTTGGCTCAGGGATGAGCGTAGGCCTAGTTTCCCGAGTGCATGTGTGCGTGATGTGGTTTTCCAGAGCCTAGAGTAGAGGCATGTGTACATGGGTATGTAGATGATTTTATAGGGTGCACGTGTTATTTTGTGCAACTGCAAATTACATGTGTTTTTGCAAATTCAGAACATATGTGCATGTGTCAGCACAAGTTCCCTCCTGCCTCTCCCAGCACATCAGGATCTCCCTAGATATTCCTTCCCTCCCATCCCCAGGTAAAGGAAAAGGCAGGCCCTCTCCCCAGCACAGCCTGCCTTCTTCCTGCTTCTGGAGCCTCGTTGTCATGGCCTCGAGGCTTCTGGGCCCCGGGTAGCTGCTCTTCTTTCCACATGTTTAATCTCTTATTTTCCGCTGGCTTCTTCCTCCACCTACATGCATTGCTCAAGCATCCTCTAGCGCTTAAAAACACTCACCCTTCCTTTCCCTGCTGAAAAGGGGGTATACCACCCTCATTCCCTTCCCTGTTGAGTTTCCCAGGGCGGCCACATTTTGTGACCCTCACATTTTATGACACCCACATCTACCTCTTAACTGCTTGCCATCTGATCTTATTCCCACTTCCTCTAAAGCGGTCCCTTTAAAAACCATCCCTGACTGCAGAGCCACACATTCATGGCCTTTTCTCAATGCTTCCCTTTCTGTCACCAAACCAGAGCCTCCTCTCCATTTTACCACTGAGATCTCTCTGGACTCTGACCCTCCCCTCTCTTCTCACTGCTGCTGGCTTCATGTTCTCACCTTTATGATCTCTTGTCTCCAGCTTATACCGTCTTTCTAAACCCTGCAGCTTGGAGGAGATCCCAACCCTGCCCAAGAGCTGGCAACAGCTTCCCCAAGGCTGGCTCAACTGCAGAGAAGCTCAACCTAGGATTGAAAGGCATCTACGGGTCTGGAACACTTGTCGCATTGCAATAGATCTTGTCATCCCAGTGAAACTGTAAGCTCTACGCAAGTGGAAGGGTAGGGATTCTGTCTTGTTTACTGTTGATTACTGTTGTACCCCCAGAGTCTACCACAGTGCTTGGCACACAGCACTCACCAAACCAGTGAGAGACCAAATAAACAAAGGAAGGAACTAACAAATGAATGAAGTTGTCTGTCTCTGCGTGGGAGGAGCCATGGCCCTCATAGGGAGGGTTTCCAGGGCAATGTCTATTTCTCATGACCCCCCACTCTTGCTCTGTTAGGACGTCCTGCCAGGCTGGGAATGTTCTCTATCTGCACTGTCCCAGACGGAAGTTACTAGCCGCAGTGGCTGCTGGAAATCTGACATGTGACTAATGCAACTAAGGAACTGAATGCTTAATTTAATTTCAGTTGAATCTAAATTTCAGGAGTGACATCTGTATTGGCTACACAGCTCGAGATATTGATTGACTGCCACCTAATCACAAACATATAACAATTTCTGCCCAGACTCTTTTTCTTTATTTCTTTTTTTTTTTTTTTTTTTTGAGTTGGAGTCTCACTCTGCCACCCAGATTGGAGTGCAGTGGCTGCTCCCGGCCACCGCAGCCTCGACCTGCTGGGCTCCGGCAATCCTTCTGCCTCAGCCTTCCAAGTAGCTGGAACTACAGACGCGCACTACCACGCCCGGTTAATTTTTGATTTATTGTAGAGATGAGGTCTCTCCAAGTTGCCCAGGCGGGTCTCAAACCCGCGGGCTCAGGCAATCCACTCACCTCAGCCTCCCAAAGGCGCGGGATTACAGGCTGAGCCACTGAGCCCGGGTCAGACTCTTTTTCTAACCCTGTCTTTCCCTCTCCCACTCCTCCCCAATCTCAGCCCCTGGAGTCCCAGGCCTCACCTACTGTAGTAGACAGAGAAGACGTCTTCTTTTAGCACTCCCTGGGAGAGGATGTGGTCAAAGACAGGGGTGACTCCGCCGACGGCCTGTTCGGGGAAGCCCATGCCCAGAATGCCATCAAACTTAGCCAGCATGAAGGGCATTGCGGGTAGCTCCGTGATCTCTCCAAACATCTGTGCTACCGTGATTCCGCCCACCTGTGGGAGGAAGGACCAGAGGAGAACGAGCCCACTGTCCACCCTCTGGTGGGGTCTAGTCTGGGCTTCCACAACGGGGCCCTAGGGACACACATGCTCCAGGGTACAACAATTGGAGTGCGGGCATTTCAGCAATCCTGCCCCATACCCTGTATCCCCATACCTATCTCTGCTATGGGACCCAGAGAGAGCTAGGGTTGACCAGGGACTGAAAGGCAGAGGCTGAGAAGGTGCCCCGGCCAGGCAGCAAAATAAAAGATGCCAAGAGCTTCTGTCCCCACTCCGTAGTGGCCCACCTGTCACACCGGGCAGGTCTGGATCTCAACCCCCACCATCTCGTGGGCGAAGGATTTCTTAAGCACAGCCAGGCTTGCCCTTCCTGCTCCTTTTTACCTGATTTCACAGCCAAGGGGAGAGGGAAGGGCTCATTCTGATTTCCTCTCAGGTTCCCTGTGTACCCTTCCCCTAACTCTGATAGAGCAAGAGCTGAGAAACTCCAGAATGAGGAAGAGGCCAGACCCCGGTCTAGACCCTAATCCCAAACTCAGCCTCAACTGTGATCTTGAAATCTATGTCTAATCCTAAAACTAACGCTGACCTTGACTCTGACCCTGGATTTCAGTCTAGTTTACGGTTAAGAGCCTAGTTGGAGCTGGTAGCCTGGGCAAGTTACTTGATTGCAGACCGTGAGGCTCAGGACAAGCCCTACATGCAAGTCAGATGCCAAAGTCTCCATGAATCACCCAGCCATGAGCCAGCAGCTCAGATTGGCTCCACCATGGGTGTGCTTCTTTGCAGCTCCAGCTACATGCAGCAGAGCAGGGTGTTCCTCAACTCCGAAGGCTCCAAGGTAGGCTTCAGTGGACCTCTCCCATACTTGTGGGCCCTGGGAGGGCAGGAGAGGCCTGGGAACAGAAGGGGACAGGTGACCTGGGACAGTTCCACTTACAGTTACCATGTCTTGGCTTAGAAAGCCTTTGACCCTTCCTGATCCGTAGTAGATGATGAATTCTGTCCCATTCTCCATGTAGCTGGAAGATTCCGAGGAGTCGTAGAGCCTGTGAATTCCTGGCAGAGGGACATAGGGTCAGGTCTGTTCAAGAGCAGACCAGACAAGGAGACTTGGAGGCAGGATGCATTATGGATCATGTGACTTAGAACTTAACTTAGGTACAGATATGCGTGGCCCTAAGGTCAGGGGCTTGCAACGTGTTTCGTCAATCACGAACTGTGTTTCTTGGGCCCTTCTGATGTGCCCATACTTCTGAGAATTTTGTCTTAAATGGAGCATTTGAAAGTCATTACTAACTCTCATAATACCAGAGAAGATTCTGGGCATAGAAGAAGAGCTCAGTAAGATATTGTCGACTGAGACTAGGGATGGAAGAACCAAAGTGCCTGGGATGAATTTGAGAATTTAGTCCTGCCTCAATTTCAGGAAGACTGGGAAATGGCCTTCTGGGTAGCCAGGGTGGCCCTTGGAGCTTGATTTTTTAGCATGGTGGCTATATCAGGAAAATAGGAGACAACTTCTCTCCCCTCAGGGTGAGTGAGCACAGAGGCAGAGACGAAGCGGCTCACATGGTGGCAGGAGGGAATTAGTTGACTGTGGGGCAGGACTACTCAAATGTGGCGGGGCAGGGGCCTTAGGTCTCACCACAGGCAGTGTAGAGAGGACTGCACTTGGTAGAGGGCACCCAGAGGTTGGCTGAACCCGTGTCAAAGATGACTTTGAAGGTCTGGGGTGGGGTGCCAATGCCAATCTCACCGTAGTACTGGGTCTGTGGGGATAAAGAGAAAGAGGAAGCTGGAGGGGCTCAGGGAGCCTTGGGTCTTGGGGTCTTGCCTGGCTCCACTCTGGGCTTTCGGCATGAGATCAGGCTCAGGGGACAGCCCATGGCCTTGCTGGGTTTCCATTTTCCTGCAGGGATTGGTGGGAGGCTTAGCACTGTGCCTTGGCATCCCAGGAAGTGGGAGTCTCTGTGAGACAAGAGGACAAAATAAAAATATTGAAGATGAGGCGGGAGGTACCCCGACACCCTTGATTAGTCAGCTCACAGAAGCCCCCACCTGAGTCACACATTCCTTCTCACCCACCAGTGACGCCTGGCTTGAGACCTGGGCTGAATTCCAAACCTAACTCTGCCCTTGACTAGCCCCCAAGTCCTTTCCTGGCCTCTGAGCCTCAGGCTTTCCAGCAGTAAAATGGGAATTTTCTAGGGTACTCACATGCTCTTTGGAACCTCAGCCAAACAGTGTGGAAAGATTGGGCCTTTTGGCAAAGAAAGCCCTAGGTTCAAGAGAGAAAGGAGATAGGCAGGGAGCCAGGGACAGAGCCCGCACTCACATCCAGGTAGTTGGTGAGGACCACAGGGGAGGTGGTGTTGCCGATGGAGAGACCCTTGGCAAGCTGGCTCCACTCGGCACCAAGCCTGGCCATGTCCACACCTCGCTCCTTCAGGTTCTCCCGGACTGAGGGCATTTTCTTGAGGAAGATCCTGGCCCAGGGTGGAGGAAGCAAAAAAAGGAAAGTCCTGTATTCCCCCACAGTAATGGTAGAGTCCTTGAGGTCAACCCCTGCTTTTAGTACAACTGTCCTGGACCTTACTTAGCCCAGACACCTAAGCATCACTTCTGTCCCCTAGGGCCGCTGCAACATTTATAGGAGTCACCTCTTATAAAGAGCCAATTTAGAGGAGCCCCTACACTGGTACTAAATAACCCCAAACTAACTTCCTTCTGTTGTCTTATTTTGATTAGACAAGGTCATTTGTTCACTGGCTCGTTCATTCATTCGTTCCATAATCACCTGTTGAAAATGGATACTTTGTGCCTCACTGTGCTGGATACTGGAGATGTAAAAGCAAAGATTATCGCTGCCCTTAAAGCACTTCAGCAGGCAGGAGGACAGACATACACTGATATCCCCCTCTGAGCATATGAAAGCCAGGGAGTGCCCCCCTCAAAGCTTGGGGGTGGGAGAGACACTGTCATGGAAGACCTGTAGGTGGCAGCAGATGCCCACAGCAGCCTGCGAAGTCTGCAGGACACCTGGGGTGCAGACAACCAGGCCGGGCTGTGGTGGAGTGGGTCTGGTGAGCTGGGCTGAGCCCAGGGAGATGCCAGCATCTCCAGATTGCCTGTCCACCTCGTCCTTGGAAAGCTGTGTCCTGGGCCCACGTCCCAGTCCCTTGGCTTCTTGTCTGGATGCCTTCCCATCCCTCAGGGAGACAGAATTAAAGAGACCTAGGAAATTCAAAGAATACTGAGCATTGTACATACCCCCCATGCAAGCCCCATGATGGCTCTGCAAACTCACTGTCATCTCATTTTATAGAGGAGAAAATGAAGGCTCACAGGATGAAGGTGCCTCAGCGATAAGGAAGCAGGGACTCTGGCCCTGTTTCCCATGCAGGGTCCCCTGGGTCCCGACATTAAGGCTGTTTGCGGAAGGCTGGGGGAAGATGTCTCCATCTGTTGGCCAGGAGCTCCCAGGATGGAAGCCCAAGGTAACCTTGCAGTAGACTTTTCCCCATGTGGAGAGTCCTACTTTGTTCTCAGCAGCACGCCTCCTGTTTTGCACTATCCTTTCCTTCCTACATTCCACGCATTCCACTTACCTCATTTTGCCCACGAGCTTAAATGCAACTTTTATGCCAATCAGTATAATATTGCAACAGAAGCCGGGCTCGGTGACTCAACCTGTAATCCCGTGCTTTGGGAGGCTGAGGTGAGTGGATTGCCTGAGCCTGTGGGTTCAAGACCCACCTGGGCAACTTGGGGAGACCTCATATCTACAAAAAATTTAAAAAAATTAGAGCTGGGCTCGGTGGCTCAGCCTATAATCCCAGCACTTTGGGAGGCTGAGGTGAGTGGATTGCCTGAACACGCGGGTTCAAGACCCGCCTGGGCAACTTGGCGAGACCTCATC